CAGGTTGGTTTGGACTTTAACTTCTCCGTAACCAGTTTACCTAAGATTAGAAACCAGTTTGCCTGTTTAACTGGAACTGGAGACCAGTAAACACTGATCTGTTCTAAACTAATCAATCAATCAATCAATCAAATTTTATGTGTATAGCACATTTCAGCAGCAAGGCATTTCAAAGTGCTTTACATCATAAACACAAAGTCATATAATAAACAATACATTGTTACATATTACATTTCAAAAACAATTCTAAACAGAATGTGTTTTTAATTGAGATTTAAAAGAAGTCAGGGTTTCTGATGTTTTGCAGTTTTCTGGAAGTTCGTTCCAGATGTTTGGTGCATAGATGCTGAAAGCTGCTTCTCCTCTCTTGGTTCTGGTTCTGGATGCAGATCAGAACCAGAACCAGAACCTGAGAGTCTGGAAGGTTGATACAACAACAGCAGATCTTTGATGTATTGTGGTGCTAAACCGTTCAGTGATTTATAAACTAACAACAGTATTTTAAAATCTATTCTTTGAGCTACAGGGAGCCAGTGGAGGGACTTTAAAACTGCTGTTATGTCTCTATCTTCCTGGTTTTAGTGAGAACAGGAGCAGCAGCTTCTGGATCAGCTGGTTCTGGATCAGCAGCTTCTGGAGCAGCAGCTTCTGGATCAGCTGCTGCTGGAGGATTGATTTGTTGGACAGGCCTGTGAAGACACTGTTACAATAATCAATGCGACTAAAGATAAACACATGGATGAGTTTCTCTAGATCTGGCTGAGACATTAGTCCTCTAATCCTGGAGATGTTCTTCAGGTGATAGAAGGCCAATTTTGTTACTGTCTTTATGTGGCTCGCAAGGTTCAGGCCCGAGTCCATCACTACTCCCAGGTTTCGGGCTGATCGCTAGTTTTTAGTTGTAATAACTGAAGCTGTGCATTGACTCTAGATCTATAGCTCTAGATCTATAGCTCTAGATCTATAGCTCTAGATCTATAACTCTAGATCTATAGCTCTAGATCTATAACTCTAGATCTATAGCTCTAGATCTATAGCTCTAGATCTATAGCTCTAGATCTATAGCTCTAGATCTATAACTCTAGATCTATAGCTCTAGATCTATAACTCTAGATCTATAGCTCTAGATCTATAGCTCTAGATCTATAACTCTAGATCTATAGCTCTAGATCTATAACTCTAGATCTATAGCTCTAGATCTATAGCTCTAGATCTATAACTCTAGATCTATAGCTCTAGATCTATAACTCTAGATCTATAGCTCTAGATCTATAGCTCTAGATCTATAACTCTAGATCTATAGCTCTAGATCTATAACTCTAGATCTATAGCTCTAGATCTATAACTCTAGATCTATAGCTCTAGATCTATAACTCTAGATCTATAACTCTAGATCTATAGCTCTAGATCTATAGCTCTAGATCTATAGCTCTAGATCTAGAGCTCTAGATCGTTCCTCTTTAGGTCCAAAAATAATGACTTCAGTTTTGTTTTTGTTCAGCTGGAGAAAGTTTTGACACATCCACACATTTATCTGTTCTAAGCATTTATGCAGTGATTGGATGGGGTCAAAGGTCACCTAGTGACATCATAATGTAGAGCTGTGTGTCATAGTTATGGTAGCCAATATTATTTCCTGTTATAACCTGAGCTAGTGGGAGAATATAAATATTAAATAAGAGGGGTCCTAAGATTGAACCTTGGGATACCCCACATGTGACCTTTGACCTCTTTAATGAGAAGTTTCCAATTGAAACAAAGAAATTCCTGTTCTTTAAGTAAGATTCAAACCAGTCGAGCACCGAACCGGAGAGTCCAACCCAACTCTCCAGTCGATTCAGTAATATGTCAAAAGCTGCACTGAGGTCCAACAGAACCAGCACCGTGGTTCTGCCACAGTCCGTATTTATATGGATGTCATTGAATACTTTGACTAGGCCAGTCTCCGTGCTGTGGTGAGCACGGAAACCAGATTGGAAAGAGTCAAAGCAGTTGGTCATCATGAGGAAACTATTTAATTGTTTACACAGTTTTTTCAATAAGTTTGCTGATGAATGGGAGGTCAGAGGTCAGAGGTCAGCCTGTAATTCTGCAATAGTGATTTGTACAGGTTGTTCTTCTTTACCATTGGTTTGATAATTGCCGTTTTCAAAGCTGTTTTCAAACTAACCTTCCAGCCTCTCTCTCTGAGGTCACAGAGGGCAAAGGTCGCAGAGATGACAGGATGTGATTATAGATGCTTGATCTCCAGTCGATCAGCTGTTTGAGTCAGTTTGATCCTCCCAGTTAGTCCCAGTTAGACCCAGTTAGACCCAGTTAGTCCCAGTTAGACCCAGTTAGACCCAGTTAGTCCCAGTTAGACCCAGTTAGACCCAGTTAGTCCCAGTTAGACCCAGTCAGACCCAGTTAGTCCCAGTTAGACCCAGTTAGACCCAGTTAGTCCCAGTTAGACCCAGTCAGACCCAGTTAGTCCCAGTTAGACCCAGTTAGTCCCAGTTAGACCCAGTTAGTCCCAGTTTGTCCCAGTTAGTCCCAGTTAGACCCAGTTAGTACCAGTTAGTCCCAGTTAGACCCAGTTAGTCCCAGTTAGACCCAGTTAGTCCCAGTTAGTCCCAGTTAGACCCAGTTAGTCCCAGTTAGTCCCAGTTAGACCCAGTTAGTCCCAGTTAGTCCCAGTTAGACCCAGTTAGTCCCAGTTAGACCCAGTTAGACCCAGTTAGTCCCAGCTATACCCAGTTAGTCCCAGTTAGACCCAGTTAGTCCCAGTTATACCCAGTTAGTCCCAGTTAGTCCCAGCTATACCCAGTTAGTCCCAGTTAGACCCAGTTAGTCCCAGTTAGACCCAGTTAGTCCCAGTTAGACCCAGTTAGTCCCAGTTAGACCCAGTTAGTCCCAGTTAGACAGTGTTAGACCCAGTTAGTCCCAGTTAGACCCAGTTAGTCCCAGTTAGACCCAGTTAGTCCCAGTTAGACCCAGTTAGTCCCAGTTAGTCCCAGTTAGACCCAGTTAGTCCCAGTTGGACCCAGTTAGTCCCAGTTAGACCCAGTTAGTCCCAGTTAGATAGGGTTACACCCAGTTAGTCCCAGTTAGACCCAGTTAGTCCCAGTTAGACCCAGTTAGTCCCAGTTAGACCCAGTTAGTCCCAGTTGGACCCAGTTAGTCCCAGTTAGTCCCAGTTAGACAGTGTTAGACCCAGTTAGTCCCAGTTAGACCCAGTTAGTCCCAGTTAGACCCAGTTAGTCCCAGTTAGACCCAGTTAGTCCCAGTTAGTCCCAGTTAGACCCAGTTAGTCCCAGTTAGACCCAGTTAGTCCCAGTTAGACCCAGTTAGTCCCAGTTAGACAGTGTTAGACCCAGTTAGTCCCAGTTAGACCCAGTTAGTCCCAGTTAGACCCAGTTAGTCCCAGTTAGACCCAGTTAGTCCCAGTTAGACCCAGTTAGTCCCAGTTGGACCCAGTTAGACCCAGTTAGTCCCAGTTTGTCCCAGTTAGACCCAGTTAGTCCCAGTTAGACCCAGTTAGTCCCAGTTAGTCCCAGTTAGACCCAGTTAGTCCCAGTTAGTCCCAGTTAGTCCCAGTTAGACCCAGTTAGTCCCAGTTAGACCCAGTTAGTCCCAGTTAGTCCCAGTTAGACCCAGTTAGTCCCAGTTAGTCCCAGTTAGACCCAGTTAGTCCCAGCTATACCCAGTTAGTCCCAGTTAGACCCAGTTAGTCCCAGTTAGACCCAGTTAGTCCCAGTTAGACAGTGTTAGACCCAGTTAGACCCAGTTAGACCCAGTTAGTCCCAGTTGGACCCAGTTAGTCCCAGTTAGACCCAGTTAGTCCCAGTTTGTCCCAGTTTGTCCCAGTTAGACCCAGTTAGTACCAGTTAGACCCAGTTAGTCCCAGTTAGACCCAGTTAGTCCCAGTTAGACCCAGTTAGTCCCAGTTAGACCAGTTAGTCCCAGTTAGACACAGTTAGTCCCAGTTAGTCCCAGTTGGACCCAGTTAGTCCCAGTTGGACCCAGTTAGTCCCAGTTAGTCTCAGTTAGACCCAGTTAGACCCAGTTAGTCCCAGTTAGACCCAGTTAGTCCCAGTTAGACCCAGTTAGTCCCAGTTAGACCCAGTTAGTCCCAGTTAGACCCAGTTAGTCCCAGTTAGACCCAGTTAGTCCCAGTTAGACCCAGTTAGTCCCAGTTAGACACAGTTAGTCCCAGTTAGTCCCAGTTAGACCCAGTTAGTCCCAGTTAGACCCAGTTAGACCCAGTTAGACCCAGTTAGTCCCAGTTAGACAGTGTTAGACCCAGTTAGACCCAGTTAGTCCCAGTTGGACCCAGTTAGACCCAGTTAGTCCCAGTTAGTCCCAGTTAGACCCAGTTAGTCCCAGTTAGTCCCAGTTAGACCCAGTTAGACCCAGTTAGTCCCAGTTAGTCCCAGTTAGACCCAGTTAGTCCCAGTTAGACCCAGTTAGACCCAGTTAGTCCCAGTTAGACCCAGTTAGTCCCAGTTAGACCCAGTTAGTCCCAGTTAGTCCCAGCTATACCCAGTTAGTCCCAGTTAGTCCCAGTTAGTCCCAGTTAGACCCAGTTAGTCCCAGTTAGACCCAGTTAGTCCCAGTTAGTCCCAGCTATACCCAGTTAGTCCCAGTTAGACCCAGTTAGTCCCAGCTATACCCAGTTAGTCCCAGTTAGTCCCAGTTAGTCCCAGTTTTAATCGTTTCTCTCTAAACTCAGCAGTTTGATTCGTCTTTCAGTTGCCACTCCTGCAGGTTTGAAGTTTTGTGAGGAACCCGGTTCAGAACGGTTTCAGAATGTGTTGGTCTCTCTGGGTTCTGATCGGCCCAGTCGGACAGAACCGGTCTGTCATCTGATCCGCTGAACCGTCGGAGGTGGAAACACCCGGAAAGTCAAACACGGCGAGTCGGGCCTGAACACACCCGGTACCTCCTCAGTGTAAACATGAGCTATAAGAGGTCCAATCAGGATGTGGGAGGGTCTGACCCGTTAAAGGTCCGATCAGAACTCTGAAGGTTCTGACAGAGCCGGCTTTGTCCTGAGAGGCGTCGGTCGGGTCGGACTGACTCGCCCAGGATTTGCATGCTGCAGGAAACAGAAACAAACTCATTTTCATTTACAGCTGCATGCTGGCGCACTTCTCTTATAGGAACCAGAACCATCAGAGTTCTGCTGGGCAGAACCCGACCCAAACGCTACGATTCACAGCCTCTCTCCAGAACCTCGGGATTATTTCCAACATGGTCGACATCTTTAAGTAATCTGCGTCAGAACACAGACTGGTGAGTCACTGTTATCTATGAAAGAAGGTCCAAATGGTTCTGACGGACCCGGCTGAGGTTTCTATATTCACTGCTCCACCTCTGGTTCACCTGTGATCCAGGTGAGGAGCTCGTTGAGACAGAACGGTTCTGGAATCTGATGTTTCTGAAGCACAGTGGATGTTTCGGGTTCTGGTTTCTGTGCAGAACCACAACAAGCAGAACCATTCCAGTAGTAATCTCTGGTTCCGTTCTCACTGAACAGAACTTCCTGGTTCTGGTCGAGAAGCTCAGTGCTCAACTTCCTGGTTCCTGTTGGGTTCATTCCAGGGTTTGACCCAGGAATCCTCCATGGCGGCAGTGGGACCAGATGCAACCGGGTCATGGTTCCTGACACCAGGACTCTTCCTCCTCCTCATCCTTCTCATCCTCCTCTCCATCTTCCTCACTGCTCTCTGCAGCGATTGCAACAGGTCAGCTCTGCAGCCTGAACACAAACACTCTGAAACAGACGCAGTGAGACGCAGTGAGACACATTGAGACGCAGACAGACGCAGTAAGACACATTGAGACGCAGACAGACGCAGTGAGACACATTGAGACGCAGACAGACGCAGTGAGACACATTGAGACGCAGACAGACGCAGTGAGACACATTGAGACGCAGACAGACAGTCTGATGCATCTCAATGCAGTTATGGAAATGATGGGAACCGTTTATACTGTTACACAAACACCAATAATGTAGTTCATTTAGCCTGTCATTAAAATATATATGTATTTTTCCAGTTATATATTTAGTAACCTTGCTAACTAAATATTTAGTTTAGAATTGTGGCATTTATAAATGAATGAACAACATGGTGGAAATAATAAATTTACCTCAGTTTTTTCTGTTATTACAGGCTAAATGATCCAAATTATTGCTGTTAATTAGTATATATTTACAAACTGCCCACAACAGTGGATCAGAAGCTTTTCCTGAAATCTGGCACCAGAACCACAATATGTCCATCCATGGGGTCAGGTCTGGAGCAGAGGTGATCATCTGTTTGGGTTTCAGAAACTCGTTTGAGCTCCAGGACTCAGAGACAGAGAAACGGCCGTCAGCTCTCATCCGAGTGGTAAGATCAGCAGAACCGCCGATCGGCTGCAGAACTCCAACAGGAACCGACTAACCGAATGTGACCCGGTCTGCAGGTGAAGCTGGAGGAGGTGAAGGAGAACCCGATGATTGGAGAGATCCAGAAGGACGAGAGAGGTGACACGTCTGATCCGGAGAAGGTTCTGCAGAACCTGGGGAATCCGGTCCTATTTAGTTTGGACCTTTTTCTGTTGCAGAGTTTCGTCCTGGAGGAGGTCCAGCTGAGCCGGTCAGTTCCTCTGAGGGCCAACAGGGGGAGCTGCAGAGCCGCCCAGGTCAGACTGGTTCTGTGGGTCAAACAGGCTCAGCAGGAAGAGAAACCAGAACCAGAACATGCTTTCAAAAAGAATTCATGAAAATATCCGACTCCCTCTGCAGCTCTCAATATGAGCTTCTGATATATTCATGGACAGACTTAATATTTGCAAGTCAAATTGTCAGATTCCCCAGAGAGCCGAGCAGCAGAACCAAGAAATGGATCAAACTCAATCTGATCCACTTATTGGCTCTGGAAATATTTACCTGCAGAAGATGGAATCAATTCGACTTCACCTGCATTAAACATCTGTATTTATGTCCATTAGAGAACAACTGGTCGGATTGGAGGCATGTTGATATGCTGCACAGTTTATTCAACATGTAATAAAGACATATTTGTTCTCCCACACATTTGGAAACGCAGCAGCAGATTCACATTGTTAATGTTGACATTCAGCTCGTTTCAGACCTGCTGCTGTTTCATCCTCTGTCAGCTTCATCACAAAACGCTTTAAAACACGTGACTACATTTCCCATGATGCCTGTTTTCAGACCCAAGCCCCTCAGCCCATGGGCCTTCCTAGAGGAGCCACCTGGTGGCGCCAGAGAGCACAGGTGGGCTGAGAGCTTGTTAATGACGTCATTGTTTTCCCCCCTTAGACTTGTATGGCTCCGCCCCTCGAACCTGCGACCACGTCAGAGATGGGCGGGGCGACGGAGGCGAGGCGCTGGGACCGTCAGCCAGTCGGCTGTCAACGCAGCTTCATTACGTCACTCAGTCCGACGAGAGGAACGCTATGGCAAGCCGTTTTAACATAAATTCGGTTCCGTCTGACTATCCGTAATTACGTTCCAGATATCTGAAAATGTATTTTGACTAGACAAAACTACATTTTGACTATCCGGAATGGTAATTTAAGATATCTGCATTTACATTCTGACTAGTAAGAATAATAATTAAAGATATCTTCAATTACATTTTGACTAGTCAAAATTCCTTTCAAGATATCTCAAATGACGTCACCGGATTCGTCATTGGAAGGGTCATACATCCGGATTTATAATTTAAGATATCTCGGACGTAATCATGACTAGTCAGAATTACAATTTTAGATATCTTAGGTAAGAGATTGCGTGTAAGCCCCTCTTTAGCTGGACTGAGCTGTCCAAATAATTTGCCTGAAGTTCCAATGGCGCTGGCAGTTTTAGACAAAATTGTAAGAAAATGTCACAATATAGAAAGATCTCTTCAGTATGGGATATGCGGAGAGCGCGAGAATCGAGTACTTGAAGAATGTTTAAGAAATTTGCAAAGAATTTCTGATTTGCTTTCTGCCGACACACAACGCCCTGAAAAACGGCTTAGAGGAGCTGAAAGTGATGCTGTCGACCCATGTCCAAGCTGGAAATGGGGAATATTCCGCAGCTCGGGCCAGCTCAGGTAATAACCAGATGTAGTTTTTATAAAGTGGTAAAGCTGTCTGCCTCTTCGGAAATTACAGTAAAGCCAGCCAGCTCTTGATTTTCGCATGCAAGGCATTACAGCATCCTCTCCTCTGTAAATAAAAGCGCACCTCTGGTTCATGTCTGTTTCACACTTTAAGCTGTGTCAAGAAAATCCAAGATCATCCCACTTCCCCATGCGGGAGATTTTAGTTTAACAGTAACAATAAATAAAGTTACCTATAATAAGTCACACAAATCACATCTAGATCCAACAGTAGACCCAAACTGCAAATAAAATAAATCTGGTTGTGTGTGTTGTTTTTGTCTCCTGCAAACTTTGCTTTAATTAAACTTATTTTTTCTATCTAATCATAAGAAATCATAGTCAGAGAGAGAGATGAGACAGGAAGAGCAGGTTTCCTGGAAAAAGAGGAAATAAGTTTCCAGCTTGCAGCTGTATAAAAATAGCTGAGACTATTCATTGTTTAAAAGCATAAAAGTTTTAAAGGATGAAATCTAAACATTTTGAGTAATTAGATAAGATTTAAAGTAAAGTACTTATATTAATATTGGTTTACTTATAACAATACTTAAATTTACACTCTCTCTTGTGGGAAAACTTACAAGTAAAGCAAGTAACTGTAACTTTGGTATCAAATAATAATAAAAGAGTAATAAGTTGTGATTATCATAAACTTATAAATTAATGCTAAATTAAATAAACTAAAAGGTTTATGAATGTGATTCTAACATTGAACTTGAAATGGTGTAAAACATGTAACTGCTATTAAAGATCACTGATGATGTGTTGGAGGTGGATAGTAGGTGAAAGGTGAAAGGTTAGGGGTAAAATGGGAACTAACGGAAAGCAGAGATGACCAAGGCCTTATTAGGACATAGATTGTTGAACAACTTAAACGTGTCAGAGACATGGGAGGAACATTGAGCAACCCTGAGACATTAGCCAAGACACCAGGACAAGATGTCTCTAAGACAGTGATGGAGATAGGCTAGATGATTGATTTTACTCATTTGATTATTTCTGCTACTGAATTAAGCTGTACTGACCCTTGCAAAATTGCTTTACTAATAAAATATTTAGCATAAAGAAAATCTAAAAGATTACTTAAGTTCTGACAGGGAAAATCCCAGCAGATTTAGGAAACTCAATTTACCCGTTAGATGGAGAGCTGGTAGCACATCTGTCCTCTCAGAAGAGGAAGTAGTGACTGAGAGAGGAGAGAGAAGGAAGGGGCAACAACAGTTGCTTTCCAGCATCAATAAAAATTTAAAACTTTGTGTTCATGCATTTGCAACAGGAAATTATGTATATCAAATTGAATGTATATATTGTGTGAAAGGCATAATGTAACCCTCAGGAGACACAGGGACACCTCTAGAGGATAGACAGATATAGACAGACAGAGAAAAAGTAGATGTATAAAGTAAATCTTGTGCTGAGGTATTTAAATATGATTCTATTTTAGGTGGTCGAGGTAGACCAGCTATTCGTATTACAAGAGAGCAAATCGACTTTCTTTTGGCCCAAGGACACACGGTCAAGAGGATGGCAAACATCTTTGGATGCTCAACATCATTTCTTTATAAAAAGTCCAAAGCACTTGGTGTACCAATCAGGGGAAGGTTGGCTGCTGTGACTGATGAAGATCTTGAAACTAATATCAGACAACTTCAATCCCTGTATCCAAATTCTGGGACTGAGGTACGGAATCTAAATATATTGCTTCTGAAAAGTAATATGTTCAACTGTGGTGGTGCACAGTACTAATCATTTTATCATTTAATGTAAATGTCACAAATGATAATGATTTTTAAAAATTATTTATTTTATGAGCAGATATGAAATCTGAAACCTATATTTTATAAAAGATTACTTTCAAAATGTGAAATTGTGTGGTGGTTTGAAATAGTAAGACCACATGTCCTTCATTAAACCAGATGATGCGAGGCTTGTTGCACGCACGAGGACTAGTGGTTCCACGACGTAAGGTCCGTGAGACGATGGCTCGAATCAACCCAATGGCAACTGCAAGGAGGTGGAGCAGTGCAGTGTCTCGACGTGTCTATCATGTGCCATACCCCAACAGTTTATGGCATATTGATGGCAACATGCGTCTCATAAGGTATCTGAAAATATCAAGGATGTATTTCAGAGTGGATATCTTAGAACTAAATTCACTATACACATTTGAACACATTATTCCTTATACACTTTTTTGTGTTTCCATTTAGGTGGGGCTTTGTGGTCCATGGTGGCATCGATGGATGTTCTCGCTTAATTACTTACTTGAACTGTAGCACAGACAATCGCGCCTCAACAGTGCTATTTCATTTTCTCAAGGCAACAGGCCTCTATGGTTTACCTTCTCGAGTGAGGTCAGATCATGGTGGCGAGAATGTGCAAGTGGCACTGGTGATGAACCTCCTGCAGGGCATTGAACGTCGGAGTCATCTAACTGGGGAATCCATCCATAATCAAAGAATTGAGCGTCTTTGGAGGGATGTGTTTTTACATGTTCTGGAACCATTTTATAGCATGTTTTATAATCTTGAAGATTCAGCCCTATTGGATCCCAGCAACGACGTGCACAAACTTTCTCTTCACGTAGTTTTCTAACTGAGATTCAAAGCCGACTAGAACAATTCAGAAAGGCATGGAACCACCATTCCTTGCGTACAGAAAACAACAAAACACCAACACAAATCTGGACTGAACGGATGTTAGCAAACATGGGTGCCAACAGCACAGCAACTAACAACGTGTTTGGTGAAAATTCCAACACACCAGAGACTCTTGAAGAACTTCTGCAACAGCACGGCCTTGGGCTCCTTCCAACCACTGATGCTGAAGAGGTTCCTAGTGTAGTTGTAGAACCACCCCAAACCAGCCTCAGTCAGCAACAACTTCAATCAGTTGATCTTGCAATCAATCATATTTCTGATCTGAAGGAGAAATACCAGGCCTGTTGTGCAGAAATTGCTTTATTGATTTAAGTAACTGTCACTATGCTTGAGAAGTGACAAACATCAACATTTGATCAAATGCATTGTTCTGAAGATACAATTACTACAAATAACTCAGAATTGACATGAGTAGGTAACCTTACAAATTTAATTATAAAATGTAACAATAATAAAGAATTATTGACTCAAAACAAGCTCTTTTCTTGATGAAAAGTTACATGTAAGTTAGTTTTATCTTTAGTGCACAAAAACATTTGCACAAGAAAGTATTTCAAAAAGACTTGGTAAGATCTTACATTTTTGCAGTGTGGTTCAAACATACACCTTTAAATTGTGAAACCAAAAAGTGGTTAAAAAGACATCTATTCTTTGCATAAACATATATATATATATATATATATTGTATTTACATTTTAACATTTTCGAAATTTGGCAATTAAATTACCTTGCTTAAAACACTTGCTTTAAAACATTAAACTTTTTGAGACATTAAAACATGTAACTTTTTGAGACATTCCAACTATTTTTTTTTTTTTTTTCAAAGAACTGCTTATTACACTTATTAGCTGATTACGCAATACCAAAGGTAGGTGCCTGCAGCACCCCGTCACTCATGTACTTTGTGAAAGACTCATAGTCTGGGTGTACAGGAAGGCGGAGTACTATAAGGCATGTATTTGCTTCTGGAAAGACTTTGTTAGCCTCATGGAGGAATTCAATTTGTGGACGATGGGGAAAGCCCAGTGGAGGTACGGTGGATGCTCCAGAAGCAAACTCCAGTATCATTTCAAGGGTAATGGGGCTGCATTCTCCTTCTGAAAGACAAAATGTTGAAATTATTATCTTTGATAAAAGGTATCCAGTGTCTACACGTAAAGACATGGAAGAAAATGTGTTGCATGTCTGTTTGTGTTCCTCCTCAGTTTTTTTTATATTGGTGATGACAATGCATTTCTTGTTAGTAAATATAAATCAATAAACATTTTGAAGCCAAACCATGACTAAGCATGATCATTGTAAATGGCATATAAAAGGATGCATTCATGCAACAAATTACTCAATATATATTTACTGGCCAAAAACAGATCATTTCTATGGCAGTTTAACAAAAAGACTTTCCCAGAAAGAGATTTTTCACATTTTGGTCCTGTGACTAGCCATTTAAAAAATGTGCCTCAATATTCAAACTATTTCTTTTTGGACAGTGGTGATAAATCGGTCACAAAATGTAATTGATACCAGTTTTGCTTACAATATCAAAGTAATTGTACCTTCAATATCCACCAACCAGTCTCTCCAGTAGCATATGGTTTGATTTTCTATCCTCCTTTTATTGCTACCTTGCACAGAAAAACACACTTGGAAAAGTGTGTACAGGTCGCGTGCCAAGAGTGGTTTCTCAGCACAGACAAACAACTCATGAAAGAGTGCAGGGTTTTTCTGAATTTCATCTAGCACATTAAGAGTCTTCAAACCTTCCACAAACCTTTAAGAAAAGAGAATATGCCCTTACTTTTAGATACAACAAGATTTCTAAAACAAAAAATTAGGATCTTGCTTACTGTTGCAATGCAGTGCTCACTCGGCCATTTACAAAGAAGTCCATGAGTATCCAAAGCCAGTTGACGGTTATTCTCATGCCCCTCAAAGACATTAGATTGATGAATGGCCCTCATTAACAGTCTTAGATACTCTCGCGTGGGACCACCTTCATCAACTGCCCCTTCAGCGTTGTCCTCTTCATCCACAAAAATAACATCCAGTTTTGCTGCCGGATCAAAACGGCGTCTTCTGAAGGCATGCAGGCTACATTCTAAAATTCTGTCCCTGGACACATTTATTTGGTTGCTTGTAGGACAGAAAGTCATATCAACCTTGCTGTATATTTTTGCTAATATCGTCTGAAGATCTGTTCTGTAAAAAGAAAATATATTTTATTGTGTATTGTTGGAGTAAACAATGGTTTGCAACTGTCAAAACTAATTACATAAGACACTGCCAGAATATGCAATTTTTACTCACTCATCCAAAGGCAACTCTGGTGGATGTTGTGGAGACTCAGGTGGCTCTTCTTGGTCTTCCAGTAGAATTATAGGTAGCTCAGTAAATGGAGATGCTGGTGCCTGGTCCTCAATGAACATCACCTGTGGAGCCAGGTTAGAGTGGGGGGAGAGGGGCAGCCTTGAGGTTGCAATCACAGGAACTTCAGAAGTTGGTTGTGCTTGAATGGAGGGCTGGGACACAGCTGCCCAGGAGGAGAACAAAGTTGATGTTTCTGGGGAGTTGGGCCTGGTCGACAGCACTTGAGGAGATGTTGGAGCCTGTGGTGACTGGGCTGACAAAGATGTCAGTGCTTGGTCAGAGAGCAATGTCTGTAGACATAGGACAGAAGACAGTGACTGCTCCAGCATACATTCGCTTGTACTGGACACCTTTCTTAAGCAAAATAAAACAAAAACCTAATCATGCCAATGTCAATTTTATTCATGAAGCACTTTCAAAACAGATATTTATTGCACCAAAGATCTGCACGGTGTTCATTAAGCACAGACAAAACACATAAGAATAAAACACAAATTAAAACAGACAAGTACATTACAATGTCGGGCCTTACAAAAAGCCAAAGAATACAAATGAGTTTTAAGGAGCGATATGAAGTGTTCCAGACTATGGGTAGATCTAATGTTAAAAGTTAAGTTTATCCAAAGATTAGGAACAGTGACAGCGAATGCTGATCCTATTCGCTCTCACTCAGCCTGGTCCAAGGAATAGGTAAGAGCAAGCTATTATTTGACCAAAGTGTTCTAGAACTGGAATGGTCGTAAGAAGGTCTTGAACAAAAGCTGGAAATAGGCCATGTAAAGTTTGAGAATCCAATAAAAGACTTAAAATCAATCTGATAAACTGGTAGCCAATGCAGAGAAGTGCTATATGCTCTCATTTCTGGGATCCAGTCAAAAGTCTAGCTGCAGCATTTCGAAACATTTTGGGGGAAAAAATACTGAAGACATCGTATGGGATCTGGGCTTAATTACTTTACCTGAATTTCTAGAGTTGAAATCCAAAGCACGTACAGAGTTACAGATGTTGCTATGCCATGATCCATAAGTGACCCTGATGAGGTGCTGTCAATTGGTGTGGATGATATTGCTTGTTGAACACTGAATATTTCACTTGCCATTTCATCTTGTCCAACAAAATCAAACAAGACCTTCAAAAAAAGGGTAATGCAATTTCAGTTACATTTACTTGAAAATAACTAATATACATTCTCTGAATAAACAGATTACCTGAATTGGGTCAGACACATTGAAAGTTCTCTTTCTGATAAATCCATTCGGATATTTGAACTTCAACAGCAGTCCACTTGACGGTTCTTCATATACCGCCAGTCGTTGCTGCCGTTCTTCAATTGCCTAAAATATGAGCACTAAAACCTCTAGGTAATCCATAAACTACAAATATTCTAACAATGTAATACTTCTTACTTTTATGCGTCTTTCCTCCCAGTACTTGTAACACTGTCTTTTCCTTTCCTGGTAGAAAAAAAATTGTGAGCAACAACAGCAAAAACAAATGATAACAAAAATGTTAACTCACATTTTCTTGGTCTGCGAGCAAAGACTCTTCATACTCTTCATCTTGCTGGGACAGCAGAGATCGCCGATCTAGACGTGTCTATTGTGAATACAGCACAGAGTCAACATCAGAAAAAATATCTAAAACTATATATATATTGTTCTTGAAATTAATGACCTGCTCTTCCCCCAAATGTTGTCTGTTGGTATTCTCAACCTCCGGAGAGGTTGAGAATACCAGCTGTCCTTCTGATGCAGTTGAGGGTTCTGGAAACAAACTCCTGGGCATTGCTGTGGTTGAGTAAGTTTCCTAGACATGTCCAAGAAATTTCAAATTATGGTGGCAGATATTACCCTGGATATACCATACTACATAAAATAATTTCTGTGTACAAAACAATCATACCTGTGACACATCTGCTCGTGGTAGAATGTAGAGCCTGCTTTTGCCAATCTTTTCTTTCAGCTCCCTCACAGAATTCACTTGTAGTTTTTTTATCTTTCGTCCTTTTCCAGCTCTAGCCAGTTCAAAGCCAACCAGATTTAGACTGATGTGTGGGTAGCTTTGACACAAAAAGTTATTCAATTCCGACAAGCTCCAAGTCAAGTTGATTTTGGAGCACTTGGTTTCTGTCCCCTCATGCACAGGGTCGCCTGAATAATCAATGGCGACAAAGCAATGTTAAACACAATAACAAAGAACATGCCATTTAAGTTTAAACTCATCAGCCCACCAAGTGACTCTGGTGAAAGAGTAAAATTATGATAAAGTGGTGACTTAAAACCCAATTGGAGATGTTAAAAGCAAAAGTGCCTCCTTCTGTCACATTACGCGGGTGTATGAAATAATGTCATTTTTGAAAAAATATGCCCACCTAATCCATGGTTTTTTAGTCTTCGTACATCCGAGGGAGAAGGAAGAACATCAACATTAGGGCCAGAAAGCAAAAAAATATTTGTCTTCCAGACAACACTTGGCTGCCTCCCAACCGATCCTGCAATGAACACAACAGAATCACACCATTGATGCTCCATTCATGCTAACTGACATTCTGTAACATTGAGTGTGCTAACTGGGATTGCCACCTTTCACAAGTTTCAAAAAGGAACGCCCACTACGGCTTCTCACGTAATTATGAAAATTGTGAAATTAAATTAAAATGTGAAAGCCAATAATTTGATTTCTCATAATGAACAAAGACTGGCTACCTGCCAGGTTTAACCCGCCTCTGGTGTACTTGCTCTCCGTTGCTGGTGCGAGATGGGAAGAAATCATATACAACAAATCGCTTCCCATATCGCTTCAATAAGGGACGTAAAAGTTACTTGCTAAAATACTGGACTATTCCGTATTTTATAGACAATTCCATATTTTATAGGACGGATGACAATTCCAGTTCTAAATAAATAAGCTACTTAAATTTTGCCAATATTTCTTTATTCCACGAGCATGAAGCTAACGTAGGCTGGAAAGCTAGTTCTATGAACCGGCATCTGAACATCCACTTACCTCGACTTCTCTGCACCTGACGCCGAAAAAGTCTTCTTGTTGCTGTAAATAAATTATCAGTATTTCTTAATTCATGTCGAGCACGAGCTGCCGCGCTAAATACTGTGTTAAAAACACGAGTATTTGAGCTGGACTGACCTGACATTGTGAACCGCTGAACAGTCAACTAGCTTAAAGCTGGAATGCTGTACGCCCTGTCCGCCAAAATGCTACGTAAATCAGTGACGTTTTGACTAGACAGAACGCTAATTCAAGATATCTGTAACGTCATTTTGACTAGTCAGAATGTTCATTTAAGATATCTTAAATAGAAAAGTTGAATAATTCAAGATATCTCTAATTCATTTAGAGATATCTTAAAAGGAATTTTGACTAGTCAATATTATAATTCAAGATATCTCTAATTTAGTTTTGTCTAGTCATTATTTGCTTTTAAGATATCTATAATTTAATTTCCACTAGTCAAAACTACATTTCCACTATCCAAAAATACATTTAAGATATCTTGAATTATGGACTAATTAGAGATATCTTTAATTAGAATTATGACTAGTCAAAACTACAATCGAGATATCTTGAATTTACTTTTTGACTAGTCATAATTTAATTGTAGATATCTGAAATGTGTATTTCAGATAGTCAGTAATTCATTGTAGATATCTTGAATTGAAGTCCCCATACAAATCAATGGTAAATCTGACGTCATTTGACTAGTCAGAATGTAATTAGAGATATCTCAAATAGGTATTTTGTCTAGTCAAAATATAATTAGAGATATCTTAAATTGCAAAATGTCTAGTCATAAAACAATTTGAGATATCTGGAATGTAAGGGCGGCAAAACCGAATTTATGTTAAAACGGCTTGCCATAGGAACGCGGCTTCCGGTCGGGTCAGCAAGAAGCTTCCGCTTGACCAACTCAGCTGTTCCCACACCGGAGGGGGCGGGGCCACCGCGCGGGGAGGAGCCTGAGCAGCAGCGGGAAACAGAATGACCCCAACACCAGGGGGCGCTGTGGCAGCGGAGGAGGAGGATGACCCCTCAGCAGGAGTTTAAACCGCCTGTTACCATGGAAGCCTTTGGAAACCTTCTGAGGCTTCTGATTGGTCCGTTGGGTTCCGACACAAACCGTTCTGATCAGCTGATTTCTGCTGCTCGCTTCATGTCCATCAGAAGAGGCGCTGCAGGATCAGAAACTGAAATAAAGTTTAAAAGATTTTAAAGATTTGTAAACACAGTGGTACAAAAACAGAAAGATTGATTCGTGTTCAGTTTCTTGTCGGATAATTATAACTATGCTAGTGACAGGTTCGACTGTCACTAGCATAGTTAGCTCCCCGCACTAGCATAGTTAGCTACTTCACTGACTCTGTTGTTCCGGATGCAGATGCGGGTTTTCTATCCACACAATGAAATGAGCACATGAAGCATTTTGGGTTCTCTCTCCAAGATTAGAATTTTTAGCTAAATTATTTAGTTTGCTTACACCTGCTGCCATAAACTAAAACTTGGTCTGATTATTAGAGAACAGCCACGAAACAGCATAAAGTTACCTGAGCTCCACAGGGCAAGTTGCCCTCTATTACAGGTTAATGTATGGTTCGGTTCTGGTCCAGCGGGTCTGCAGTGCAGCAACTGCGGTCATTTCTGCGCTGATTTGCAGCAACCGGAACCTCGAGGTTCTGATGGACTAAATGATCCCAAATATTTTGTCTTATAAATAAATTTTGCTGGTCCAATTATAATGGTAAAGACTCAGATCATTGAACTTTATTTACTTCAAATAAAAAACAAAAATCACAGCAAGCTGATATTCTGTAGTTTTATGCTGTCTGCTAGTGTAACAGTTGCAAAATGGAGCACACGGGACTCAGGATCTGTCAGTTTATTTCTGTAACACAACATGGGACACACTCAACCATCGGTGTGACACATACAGTCAGATCCCAGCAGCTCTACAAACATTTTGGAGGGAAAAACTTTAACAACTTTAAAGGGCAACAGCTTAATTCTAACGGAACCTAAAGTCTTTTTTTAAGACACATAAAACAATTAACATTTTAATTTATGCAATACAAAAATGTGAAAACAATTATAAACATAATACATCACTGAAAGTGGAAGGTAGCATTAGCACGTCTTACCAGCAGCTGTGTTGGCAGCTTCTGCCTGGCTGCTGCAGCTGCCTCACAGAACCCACTCTGTGTAACATCAATAACCCCTCCCAAAACAACATCAGGAACCAAAAACAACAGACATGTCAATTCAACAAAAAGTGTTTTGAGAAGGTTCACAATCATTTTTTAAAAAAATAAGTAAATAAAATCAACTCAGCTACACTAGCAGCGATGCTAACTCACCTCATTCTGCTACAAAACCTAATGATCTGTTCCTGTCGCTCCCCGTGAATAAACTCACCATTACGATCCTCTGTGCTGAGCAGCTCTCTCACAGCAGACGGTGTCCGTGAACAAGATTGAATATTGTTATAACTGAAAAAAGATGTTACTTCCATCATGAGTATAGACTACCAAAAAAACCCTACAAATTAGTGAAATACGGCTACTTCCGGTGGGCGCCGGAAGTTAGACTCGTCATCGTTTTCCCAGTAAGCCTCCCAGAACAAAGGTGGATAAATCCATTTGCTTTTTATTTAATTAAGACACAATGAACCGCAATTTTGATAAGAATTGTTTTTCCGATAAATAATATGACAATGCTCGCCCCAACCCAGAACCACGCAGCCGGGTCTAGTGTACAGAAAGAGAGCCAGGAGTCTACAGCAGCTTCCATCAACTTTTATTATTAAAGATGATTCAAGAAATTAAACACACTTCTCCTGACGGGAATAAAACACACACACACACACACACACACACACACACACACACACACACACACACACACACACACACACACACACACACACACACACACACACACACACACACACACACACACAGGTGTAACTGTGCTGTATAAGTTATCTGTACAGTCCATGGAGGATCACTCTGCAGCGTTGGAGCCCGAATCTGAGGAGGGGAGACAGGAAAATGTTACAGCAGAACCAAGACAGTTCTGACTACAGTCCCGAACACGCAGTGTCCCATCATCCTGTCACGGGACGCAGCGTGCGTCCCCTTGACGGCGTTTCTGGGACATGTGGAGCAGCACTCCGCCTGCTGGTTTCACTTGGTGCTGCAGCTGTTATTTGACCTGCTGCTCTGGTGGTTCTGATAGAATTGTCAGGTCTAGTAAAAAGGACCGGGCTCAATGTCAGACTTTCTCTGAAGCCGACTCGTCTAGTTTCATCGCTGAGTGGGTCGGGCCCAGCTGAGGTTCTGCTGCTGTTAACCTGCAGCTAATCTGGGATTTGGACTCATTCTCAGGTTCTGGTGCGGTTCTGCTCGAACTCACTCTTTCCGTCGCAGGCAACGATCTTCACCTTGTCGACCTTGACCAGCTCTGTGACTTCCCTGAACTCCACGTCGTTCAGAACAAAAAGTCCAAACGTTGTCGCAGAACCGGTAGGTGTTCAGAGAACCCTGAGGAGAAACAGGAGGCCCGGTTCAGACCTGGTTCTGGTTCCGGACCAGACACACAAGAGCGTAGACTCACCCTGAAGTTGACCCGGTTCCGGACCCGGCTGGCCAGCGCTGCGTTGATGGCTTTATCGAACTGGAGAAGAACCTGCAGGGCCAGCTGGGGGTGATCTGCTGGGTCTGAGCACACAGAACAGAACCATCAGAACCGTCTGGGAGCATCAGAACTATCAGAACCATCTGAGGCCATCTGGATCAGGAAGATTTGCTTGTTCCAGAACAAGATCTGCTCCTCAACTTTAATCTGATTTTTATTCTGCTGGAAAAACAGATGATCACAGAACCTACAGCTACTGCAACCCGAGCCACTGGACAGAGAAAATAAAGAAATTCAGAAATTAAATATTCAGGAGAAAATTGTCAAAATTCAGAGGGGAAAAAAACCCATCTAAAATTAAAAAGTCAGAATTTAAAGAAGGAACGTCAAAATTTGGAGCGGAAAAAATTTTATTCAAAAGTTTAAATGAGAAGTAAAAATTCATAGAGAAAAATATTATGAAAAACTTGCCCATAATTATTACATTTAGTAGCCTTTCAAATTTCTTTTCTTTTCCAGACTCCCAAAAATAATGTCTTTCTTAGAAAATCTAGGTAAGTTAGGAATTTTAGGGCAAAGCCAGTAGTGAACATCATCCCACAAAGATTTGCAATGCATAGAAAAGATGTTGGCTCTAATAATCTTTTGAAATTCACTTTTATTTATGTGCAGGTCAAATTTCACACTGAAGTCTTCAAAAGACATTATATCTCCATTATTTAATAAATGCATGACAGACCAAACACCTCGTTCTAGCCAATCATGTCCAAAAATTGATTTATTATTAATTTTTATGTCACGGCAATTCCACATTGTGTGTGTGGGCTATCGTTATGTTTGTAGATTAATCTCCAATATAATAAAACTTGCTGGTGAAAGAAGGAAAGTTAACAGGGCAGAAGTCTGCAGAGCAACCAGAATGGAGCGCATTGCATCATGGGACTTGTAGTTTTCTTAACAGAGCCGACACAGCTTGATGCTGTTGGCTCATTTATCAGTGAAAAAGCAAAGATCCGGGTTTGAAACCGAACTTTGAAGATAAAGACAGAAAATCCGAGTGGCTAAAATATTTTCTTAAGTATAGGCGGTGATAATAGTCCGGTCCCGATGGACCCGAACTGATCCGAAGCCGATAAAACAGAACTTCTAGGAGCATAACCCGTTTGCTATTAATAACAGAAACTGACCAACAAACTGCGGGTTGACCAGGACCGGACTCAGTCTCAGATTTAATCCAAAAAACAGAACCAAAATGGAGCTTTTCAGCCGAACCGGACCGCAGCAGAGGAGTTCATGGTACCAGTTTCAAATCAGTTCAACATTAACTGGTTTAAATCCAGTCGGACGTTATTTTCTATGTCACTGTCAACAGATCTAAATCCTTCTACGGACCGGTTCTGACCCAGAACACAGCGAGATCAGCCGAAGCTAACAGTAGTGTTAGCCTCGACCCGACATCCGGATGTCGGCTCCGACCCGACATCCGGAGCCTCACCGCGCCGCGGTTCGGTGAGTTCGCTCGGTGTCACCTGGATGAGCTCGTCCAGACTCTCCTCCTGGAGGCTGTTCCCCAGCGTGGTGTTCCGGTACAGCTGGTAGGCCATGGTTCTCTGGTTCTGACTGCACTAAACCGAACCTCACAGAACTAGCTAGCTGCTGCATCCGCCGCTAACGAGCTTCCGCTTAGACCTTTCACAATAAAAGCAGT